TGACATTGTTCGAGTTGGACATAATTAGTATAGGACAGCCGAGATAAAATGGAATAGCTTTGGACAGACACAAAATCAAGACAGAACATCTGAAATAAAGGGAATAGCTTTGGACACACAATTAGGATGTAAAATCTGTAATAAACAGATCAATGCTTGGGTGCTCTAGATTTGATGAAAAAGGCATTCTGACCTTGTCCTGATGCGGGTTTTGTAGACGAAACGCGCTTCTTGTATTAAAGGTTACTACTAAATGATCGATATCACTGCTGCTGTAACAGCTGAAATTTAGGCCGTGGCTTGGTTAAGGCACAGAAAATATGTGAATAATATCTGAAAAAAAGGACAAGGTTTGGCTTAGGACAGTGCGAATATGATATCTGAAATTCAGGCCATGACTTTGGTGAGGCACAATTAGGATGTAAAATTTGTAATACGGGCTATAGTAGTAAGAATTTTGAATATTGTTTTAATCGGTACAAACATTGATTTTGTTTTTGATTAATTAAAACATAACTAAATATGTTTTGCTATACATTTATGAAAACATTATCCTACATCCTGTCGACGTAAAGTACTGATATTTTGCATTTCACAAGTTCGTGATTATCTCAGACTGTTTGTGATTTCTTTACACTTGATCCGTTGGACGTACACTGGTTTATACTTTAGTCTAGGAGAACATTATTTATCTAATACTTGTTATTGAATTTGAACTATTTAAAAGGAACTGCGATTACTCTTAAATCGGGACTTTGTGTCTTTTCTCTCTATGTTACTTGATATTTTTGCTTAGTACTAATCTGTTTAATCATATGTTGTCCTGTTACAACACTGTCCCAGGTAAGGGGAGGGTTGAGCGCTCACAGATATGTTTAACCCCGTCACTTCTATATGTGCCTGTCCCAAAGCCAGTGGTCGTCGTTGGTTACTGTCTGCAATATGTTTTGTCGTAATTCAGGTCTTTGTATGGCCAATGAGAAAAAACCCATACCGTATAAGACCTTTAGCTGCTTAAATCCACGTCATTTGGACTCTGTTGGATTTGTCTCATCCTTATTTGGATTCGTTGATGTATAGTTCGTTGTACGATATGATATACAGTCCATAGCTTAGGTAAGGCGTAGTTTGGATATTACATCTGAAATACAGACATTGTATGACTTGACTCGCATGGATCTTGCAGAGTTAGGACATACCATCTTACAGTCCAATGCTTGGGTCGGGCACAGTTGGGAAATAGACATTTGATCATTTGAAATACTGGCAATGGCTTTGTTAGGGACAGGTAAGATGTAAACACTACAATACAAACTAGAACTTGCGTATGGCACAGATAGGATGTAACGTCTGAAATACTGGTTATGACATGGATCATGCAGATAGGATCTTCGCTAAGGTCTATGCTCATTATCTCGGCTGTATGTCCATGCGAGTGATTGCTAACACTTTGTGTCCGTCGTCGTTATCCGTCGTTCAATAATTTTCATATTTTCATCTTCTCTAAATCCATTTGGCAAATTTTACCCCAAGTTGACAGGATAGATTTATGAACGGTGTTTAACAAACGATCCTCATTTGAGTCCAATCACACGAAAACATAACTGCAAGAGTCAATCATTGATTCTTATTGGCTGATTTTCGAAATGCTTCTTTCCTAAAACTTCCATGCCAAATGTTAATTGTGATTGAAAATTGGAGACACTACACTCTTTACAAGCCACTTGTTAACGTTATATTTTTTGAACTAAAGTAATCCAAGTGAGCGATTCAGGTTCCTTGGAGCACCGAGTAAGCTATTTTTGTATTCCTTTTCATTTTAATGCCAAACTTCTGAACGATAATCATTAATCCAGAATAAATCTGATACCCGATTTGATATGGTTTTCCAACTGTTTTGATTCGAGCTGATGAGTCTTATGTAGTCTGGTATACCAAATTATAAGCATGGTCTTTAATGAATTTTTTGGGGTTCTCAATTTGAAACAATCACATGAATATGTTATGGGAGATGGAATATCTTTGAAATTTAAAACCTAACACAAACTGTGACGTACTGATGAAACCAAAAAGGGCGCAAAACAGCCAAACTTTGTTAAAGAATCGGCGCTATGCATATAGGAGATACATTTCTTAAATTCAGATCATTCCTATTATCTATTACAACAAATGTCAAAATCGGTTTTGTTTTATGCCAGCACTGAAGTGCTGCACTAAAGTGATTGTCATACCTTCGGGGACTAACAGTCATCAGAATAGATATTGACCAAGTTGTAATAACATTAAAAGGCACAAATTTTATTACACCAGATGCGCATTTTGTCAATTTATCTCTTAAGGCCAAAATAGCAAAGCTCGGAAAAGGAGTCAGATCTACGCTTGAGGCAGGTAAATTACTTAATAACATATGATTTCCAAATTTTTATAACAGCAAATTGCCAATAGCTGTAATTTCACGAAAACACCGAGTAGCCATTACAAGATCACACGTAGCAGGGCGGACAATACCGTGGCCAAACGAAATACGATAAGACAAACACCAGTAAACAAAATACCACTAATAAGATATACATTGAGAATCACGAACCAAATCAAAACCGGGATATTTTTTCTGCCTTTTGATCATATACAACTCCTCGTACCGAAACCTGTCGTGGTAATCTTGTTCACATCCGATAATGTTAAAGTCGTTGTACGGCCTATTGTGTTAAAGAGAAAAATATGACATCATTCCATTAAACTTTGATGATTAAAAGAATCTTTAAAGTTTGGCCCAATTTTTGCACACATCAACACAGGCCGTAATTGTCTGCAAATTTGTCCTTTGCTCTTTTATCGATAGTTGTTTCATTTGCAATCATATCACACATCAGTATTTTAAGACGTAAAGTTCGGAAGTGTCGGTCAGATTAATACATCATTTACAACTTTATGTTATCACTAGCTTCTAACTTCAAAAATATTATTCAATATTCAATTCTACGGTTTAGCAGTAACACGTGAAACTTTTAAAGAAGGCCAAGTTTTGTATGACAAGTGTTTTCCCGTCCTCATGTCAAATTCTAAAATGGAGATTACTTTTATTAGACGACTACCTGTGTTCTCAAATTGTATTTAAACAGAATGTCAAACTATATTTAGACTGTCATCACGAGTTGGTTGACCGTTATGTAATAACAGTTTCACAGATGATATCGAATATGTTCCTTATGTCGTTACTACAATACCCTGCCCTTTTCACGAATGTGACTTACCGAATTAGACTATTTACCGGATTTGTAATAACATAAGCAACACGACGGGTGCCACATGTGGAGCAGGATCTGATTACCCTTTTGGAGCACCTGAGACCACCCCGTTTTTGGTGGGGTTCCTGTTGCTTAGTCTTCAGTTTTCTATGTTGTGTCTTCTGTTGTATTATTTGTCTGTCTTTTTATTTATGACCATGGCGTTGTCAGTTTGTTTTCGATCTATGAGTTTGACTGTCCCTCTGGTATCTTTCGTCCCTCTCCCATAACACGTGGAATCTTCTGGAACTCTATGAAAGCAATACGACTAAATCAAAATGTCCCTCATTTCTAGTGGCAATCTCACTTATTACTATCACAAAATTTGTAGAAAGTACCAACTAATCAGCTTCTGATAGCTAGATATTGTTTTTACACAAGGTACCTCCGGCTAGCCCATTTCGAATTGATTACTAGTAACTAGTATGCCAAACCTTCAATAACAACTGAGTTAACAAGTTTAATGGTACGTGTTTTACTGAATCTTGATTCGGTCCATCTTTCTAGATTCTTTTGATATCTTTTAAACGGCATTGTATGGTGTGTCTACATTTTTTTTGTCATTTTTTATTGGCATTATAGGATTTCCATCTTTCGGGGAATATATCAAATCTATCTATTTCTTATAGTCATGGATCTCCATGCGGTAATGAATGCTTTAAATTATATGTCTACAATTTATTCTAGCTTTTTTTTTATGGATATTAACTAAGTTTCACGTGTGCTAAAACACCAATAAAATAGCAACCATCAATGAAGTCTCCAAAATAGTTAACAAACCTCCTAACAACCTAGGTTGTGTGCTCCTACTGACCGATGCTTTCTTATCGAAATTCTTTTTTGAAGGATTTTGTATCATATGGTTTTGGTTTTGAAGACTCATCGTACGAGTGATATGTTAGGTTTGACAACAGTAATCTGTACGTGTAATCTGTACGTGTAATACACAATGCCAGGACTTCTTCGTAACATCTACGTATTGGACATGTTCCATAGTGGAAAGAAATTGCTGCCATATATGCATTTTTGCATATTTGTAACCCACATTGCTATCGAACCTAACGAGTCGAGACAGGTGTTTGCAAACGCAATAAATATTAACTGCTCTGGTCAATGACCTATGTATATCATGTTCCATTAGATTTTTGTGTCTTTTGTCTTTGTCAAACGTGGTGTCTGTCCAATATTGAAATGAACGCTATTATTTGTATCTTGTCCTTTATGTACATGTAACATCTTCTGCTGGACGTTAGTCAGCAAATAATTAATGGATAACGAATCCTTATATTAATAAGTAGTACGCACATATTTTGTAATAATGATAATTCATACAGTCGATTCTTTAAGGTTATTCAAAGCAGTCTAAAAAATGATGGACGAAATAAATATAAAGTTACAAAAATTCGAATTTAAGAAAACAATTTGGCATTCATTATTGTTTTTTTTTTATATATTTTCCAGGAAATCGTAATTCAATTTTCTCGATATATTTTCTGGAAATTACCACAAGTATATAAAACCAAGCTAGCTTAGCGTTAATCAACTATAAGACGGTATAGTTACAATAAGACAAATAAAATGCAACCACTGTTCGCTTCCTGTTACTATTCATCATTTTAACAAAAATTGTATTATGCACTGCAAACACGGAAATAACATTCAGATAAGTGTAAAAGTGATTCTTACACATCTTGAATAAAATAAAAGAAGAAAGAGGAAGAAGAAATGTTTTATTTAAGTGTACTTTGTACTGTCATACGGACAATCACATTATAAATACATGAAGCTGTAGTTCTAAATGACTCCTAGTACATTGAATGTACAAAAATATCTGTAAACAAAGGCACATAAACAATGCTATCTGTTCTTGTATCTGCTCGTTGCCTCTTTTTCTTATTTTCACTAGTTGCCTTTTTTATGAGTTGTCATCCCTGTTAAGCAGGTATGTTTTCGGTAACAACGGAAAAAGATATACGAATTTTGTTTTTAGTATTTATCATATCGTTTAACAATTTAAGTATCATACATTTTGGTTGCTGAAATCGATATTAATAAAGATTAGAAAAAAAAATGAAACCGCTCAAAAGGGTAATTATATGTTCTATGTTAAGATCCAATAGATTGAGAGGCAACATTATTGTATCGATGATAAAAGTTAAGCCAGTTCCTAAATGTGCTTTTTTTAGAAGTTCTGAAAATAAGACGCTAATAGCAATTTTTGTTTCAAATAAAATCTTTTGAAAATGTTATTCTCTCTTATAGATCTTCGAACAATGTCGACAAGTTATCATTTCAAATAGACTTTTGCCTAAATATGTATAGTTTGTCGAAAAAAGATATATTCTTAACCTAGAGGCTCTAAAGAGCCTGTGTCGCTCACCTTGGTCTATGTGAATATTAAATAAAGGACGCAGATGGATTCATGACAAAATTGTGTTTTGGTGATGGTGATGTGTTTGTACATCTTAATTTACTGAACATTTTTCCTGCTTACAATTATCTCTATCTATAATTAACTTGGCCCAGTAGTTTCAGAGGAGAAGATTTTTGTAAAAGATTACTAAGATTTACGAAAAAATGGTTAAAAATTGACTATAAAGGGCAATAACTCCTAAAGGGGTCAACTGACAATTTCGGTCATGTTGACTTATTTGTAGATCTTACTTTGCCGACATTTATTGTTTTTTACAGTTTATCTCTATCTATAATAATATTCAAGATAATAACCAAAAACAGCAAAATTACCTTAAAATTACCAATTCAGGGGCAGCAACCCAACAACGAGTTGTCCGATTCATCTGAAAATTTCAGGGCAGATAGATCTTGACCTGATAAACAATTTTACTTCATGTCAGATTTGCTTTAAATGCTTTGGTTTTTGAGTTAAAAGCCAAAAACTGAATTTTACCTCTATGTTCTATTTTTAGCCGTGGCGGCCATCTTGGTTGGTTGACCAGGTCACGCCACACATTTTTAAAACTAGATAACCAAATGATGATTGTGGCCAAGTTTGGTTTAATTTGGCCACGTAGTTTCAGAGGAGAAGATTTTTGTAAAAGATTACTAAGATTTACGAAAAATTGTTAAAAATTGAATATAAAGGGCAATAACTCCTAAACGGGTCAACTGACCATTTCAGTCATGTTGACTTATTTGTTAATCTTACTTTGCTGAACATTATTGCTGTTTACAGTTTATCTCTATCTATAATAATATTCAAGATAATAACCAAAAACAGCAAAATTTCCTTAAAATTACCAATTCAGGGGCAGCAACCCAATAACAGGTTGTCCGATTCATCTGAAAATTTCAGGGCAGATAGATCTTGACCTGATAAACAATTTTACTTCATGTCAGATTTGCTCTAAATGCTTTGGTTTTTGAGTTATAAGCCAAAAACTGCATTTTACCCCTATGTTTTATTTTTAGCTGTGGCCGCCATCTTGGTTGGTTGGCCGGGTCACGCCACACATTTTTTAAACTAGATACCCCAATGATGATTGTGGCCAAGTTTGGTTTAGTTTGGCCCAGTTGTTTCAGAGGAGAAGATTTTTGTAAAAGATAACTAAGATTTACGAAAAATGGTTAAAAATTGACTATAAAGGGCAATTACTCCTAAAGGGGTCAACTGACAATTTCGGTTATATTGACTTATTTGTAAATCTTACTTTGCTGAACATTATTGCTGTTTACAGTTTATCTCTATCTATAATAATATTCAAGATAATAACCAAAAACAGCAAAATTTCCTTAAAATTACCAATTCAGGGGCAGCAACCCAATAACAGGTTGTCCGATTCATCTGAAAATTTCAGGGCAGATAGATCTTGACCTGATGAACAATTTTACCCCATGTCAGATTTGCTCTTAATGCTTTGGTTTTTGAGTTATAAGCTAAAAACTGCATTTTACCCCTATGTTCTATTTTTAGCCGTGGCGGCCATCTTGGTTGGTTGACCAGGTCACGCCACACATTTTTAAAACTAGATACCCCAATGATGAATGTGGCCAAGTTTGGTTAAATTTGGCCCAGTAGTTTCAGAGGAGAAGATTTTTGTAAAAGTTTACGGACGACGGACGACGGACGACGGACGCAGGACGACGGACGACGGACGCAAAGTGATGAGAAAAGCTCACTTGACCTTTCAGGTCAGGTGAGCTAAAAAATGAATAAGATTGTATTATCAGGATTAAAAGATTCATTGTGGAGTAATGTATATTATTAAAAATAAAACCACTTTGGACTTAAAAAATAAATATAGAATTGATATAAGATTCGGTTTTGTAGCCTTATTTCGGAATAAATAATATTAAAACAAATTTAAAATTGTTTAAAAATAAGTAATCATGCGTCTAATTCATTTTGAAGAATACAAACAGATTTAGCACTACAACATTTTCATTATTAGATACATATTATTCTTTTTATCATAAATTCTTGTTAATCATTTATTTTTTTATGAAGATGTACCATCAACTATGATAAAATCAAATTACATTTCCTATTGATTTAAATTTATGAAGCACCTGATATTTTTCTAAACGATTTCAGCAGAACAAGAACAGAAAACAATGTTCTCTACTGAATGTGTAATACAATGAAACAAATGGTTAGAATTTTGTTCGCAATTATGAGAATACATAAGCAATCACAGTAAAAAATGAGACACAAAAATAACTATCAGAATTTAAAAATCATGATTATGGCACAGATAACTGACCAGAGTCTTGCTGTTGAACAACCCTAAAAGAGATCTAAAAACACAAGAAGCACTGATCACCGGGAAAACTAAATGTGACAAAATATGGCCCTAATTAAAAACAAATGTGTCCACTGGAAAATAGTTAAGCACTAATATGTCAAACAAAATAATTAAAAATTTTCAGTGGAAAATGTAAAAATGCAAAATACAGCACTTAAAATGAACAAAAGAAATAATGGGAAGACAAAATATGTACAAATATATGGCATAATATTGAAAATAAATATAAGCTAAGACCCTGGTCATATGGCTATTTTAAAATGCAGCACTGTTTGCAATATAGAAATTCAGAAAAAATATGCACCAAAATTATACCTATATATAAACTGAACCCTCGTAACGCAAATATGGCACGCTTATGGCAGAAACTGCCCTGATATTAAGGGTGAAAGACATTAACAATAACAAACACATAAAAGGACAGACTAACAACATAACTGGTGAATTATGGGATATCATACAATAATGAAAAAGTTATGGTTACAAACTTGAACATAATTCCCCTGATACAACAAACTGCTGCTTATAACAAATAGAATTATCTACTATGAAGTTTGCTGTGATTTAGTTCTATATCATATTGATCTTAAAATATACACAATTAACGAAAGTGTGAATATTGATGATCAACAATTTGTCATTTTAACACAACTACCATATAATCAAATATATAAATAAAGTAAATTTGCAATTAGGTGTTACTAAGCATGTTTAAACTATCAATATTCCAAAGGAATTTTAGCATGGATAATTTTTTTTCTCAAGAAAGTAATTAAACCCTGGACAGCTAAGAAAAGTGACATGTGAAGATCAATATTTCATTTCAGTTTGTTTTGAACTTGACTTGCTGCATTGAGTGTGCTTTTACGATGTTCCAAACACTCCTGGTATTTTCTAGGAGTTTTCTCGTTCTACATTTTCCTTTCGTAATTTTGCATAAAGAGTTATATTTAAAAAAAAATCATCGTTTTGATAACTGATATTTTGCACATCTGACCTTATTAAAACACATTTCTGGACAAAATTCATATGCAATAAACGAAATCAAGTTCACTTACATAAAAAAAAACTACCCGAATGTGATGTTGTAACGCCATGGGTAGATTTAAGCACACTATTGCACCAAAATGAGTCAAGTCCCTAGTTGTTAGACTGCCTGGGAAACAGTAATGTGATGAGGGTATACATAATATATAAAACTCTCTAACATCTAAATCTAACAATGAAAACTTTATACAAACACTTCAATGTAGTATCGCCCTTCTTGACAAAAAAAAAAAAAAAACAAAAACAAAAACAAATTGCACTGTTGTATTGTTTTCTCCAAATTTTAACCAGTTGAATTTGTTGGTCGTACAACATGTAAAATTCTGCTTGGCAGGATCTATTTTAGGCACTATTATTACAATTATTTTTCTGCTGCCTTAAGCTTTTCTGTTGCAGTGTGCATATTTCTATACCTCCAATAAATTTAAATATTTCTTTACATCACATATCAAAACAGGTTTCATTTATATAGATTTCCCAATTGTTCCATTAAAAGTTGATACTATAAAAGTTTTATATGAAACTCACAGTGTAACAAAATTACTCCTAGCATGTTTTCCCTTTGCATTTAAATAAATAACTTGCTGCTTTCTTTAAATAACATGACGTCATCATCAGATGAATATAAACATAATATGGCACATATTTTATAAAAAGACTTATTGTCACAAAAGATGACCTAAGACATAGGCACAAATATGCTTCTAGAATAATTTCAAGTTTTAATGAAACAGTTAAGACATTGAAACCTTTGGTGTAATATTCTCCCTGATTGAAAGCCCTGATCATTTCCGTCTGTTTGATGTTGTACTGAAGCCACATTCCAAAAAAACAAATAAACAAATATATAAATCAACACACAGTGTGATATTACTCTCAAATTTCGATGATATATTTTTACTACTCCTCTTTAAAGTCTAAAGACTGACAATTATTTTTACAGAATTAAAAATCACCAAAATCAATGTCTGCCATTTTAGTTGCTGCTTCTTTGAAGCAATGTTGCTATTGATAATCTCAAAATATATGCTTTAAAAGCCCCAGTAATGTGCATCTATCTATTCAAATATAAAAAAAATATGACACGTATACAATGCAAGAAGGGGTAAGCACCATCTAAAGATACACGTCATGGGGTACAAATTCCCTCCTAAACACACCCCATCTCAACAATCAACATCTATATACAAATTAACAAATCTACAATATCTAAAGTTTGTCTGCCCCAAACTACAACAATCGTGTGGATCTATGACGATAAATGATGATGAAGATGACGTCACCGGTTAATGGTGCCAGCAAGTCTTTACACAACAGCGAATAGTTGGGCAGACTATGAAGATGAGTATTTTGTGCTGTTTACAATAAAGGTGTCAAATAAATAACAAAAATATTGAGCAAACCATAGCAGTCATATAGTAGGGGTAACATTAACCGAATCGAATAAACCAGATTCCTTTTTGAAAGCTGCAGCCATTTTAGCCGAATCAAATGGGCTAGTTGGTACTTTGGCTGAATCAAACATACTCGTGGCAACGCTGGCTGACTCGTATAAACTCTTCGAGGAGTTCACGGAATCGAATATACTAGTGGAGGAGTTGGGAGAACCATAAGCGTTCTTTGTTAAGCTATTTGATTCGTATATACTCGTTGGTGTGTTTGCCGAATTTGAAGGAGCATTGCTTGAATCAGATTCTGAATCTTGAATCATCCTGGCAGTATCTGACTGAGACTGAGAATCAGAGTCTGGTATCATCTTCATTTGTCCATTGCCGACACATTTTCGCATATGCTTTTCAAGAGTACTGGCAACTGAGAATGGCATGCTACAGAATTTGCAACGGTATACATCTTTTCCAATCCGACCATGCGTCCTCATATGCCTTGTTAATTTACTTGACTGTGCACATGCATAACTGCACAGTGCACACTTATAAGGTTTCTCTCCCGTATGTGAGCGTCTGTGAACGGTGAGATTGCTGCAGTTTCTGAAAATTTTCCCACAATATTCGCAAGTGTCATTTCTTCTAGATTCCTTTCGGGGCAAAGGGGAACTATTAGCCGAAGATAGATTGTCTACAGACTTTTGAGTGTTGTAAGTCTTCAAGGCACTCTCAACCGTAGACACAGGATTGAATCCATTATTGTGGTTAGGGTCGAAAGGGTATCCCGGTATAAGATGTGGATAAATCTCTGGTGGTGGATTAGCGACCGGCATTCTCCAAAGGGATTGTTGCAATGATGAAAACATGTCAAAGTTGAACATAGGAGTAGGTGCTGCCTCATGAGGTTCGCTTTTTATATGTTTGGCTTGTCTATTTTCACTATTTGCTTGTTTATCAATGCCGTTGCCTTGGTTAGTTTCAGGTTCTGATTTGATATCTTCCTTACTGGATATGCTGCCATTTCTGCTGCCGTTGTCATTCTGTTCTTTACCAGACTCTGGATTCTCTTTTGAAAAGTTTTCTTCTATGGCTTGTTTCAAAGCATCTTTGTATGTCGGAATCCCCGTCAAACCTGTATTTTCCATCACTTCTTTGAGCAATGACGATTTGTCCTGAATTGAGTTAATTGCTAAACCACCATTACGTGAATGAGTCGGTACAAAGTTTGGGATAAAAAGATCAGGCTTTTTTTCTAGATTGTTATTGGACAGTTTTCGACTCTCTTCTTCTTCCATCATCTCGGATTCATCCATCTCTTCTTCATCCTCCTCCATTTCTTCCTCTTCTTCCTCATCTTCATCCTCATCGTCCATGAATTTTTTACTTCCTTCTGGTGTGCTATCACCTGAACCATGATTGCCTCCGTCTGAGGAGTTAGAGATCTGTGACATCATTGGGGATTTATTCATGTGCGTTTTCATGTGCCTTTTTAACTTACTTTGCTGAGTGCAGGCATGTGGACAGAGAGGACATTTGAACGGTTTCTCACCAGTGTGGGACCTTCGATGTACGATCAGATTGCTCTGGAAACGGAAAGATTTTCCGCAGAATTCACAAGATTTTAATTTGCTAGGTGGTGTTAAACTATCTGGACGCTGTGCTCTTTCAGGTTCCACTTGATGAGGAGAGGACTGCTGTGGTGTAAGAGGTGAAAATAAAGTCGTTGTCGTTGTGCTGGCCTGCGAGAAAGGAGGTGTGTGCTTCCGAATGGGCGGGGATGCAGAAGTTGTTCCAGTGATGATGTCTCTTGATGCCAACTCTCGCAATCTTTGTGAATAAAATGATTCAAGAGTTTTGTTGTCGAATCCCATAGGACGAGGCGTCCTGTCAAACAAATGAGGAAATGGTGGCGAGGGACCATCAAAATGTGGAAAATTTAGCAATCCGAGATGACGAGGTTCGCTAGTAATAAAATCTGGACCTGGTGGACGGCTGAATTGTAGACTCGGAGAAAGAGGAGGTCTATCAAATGGAAAGCGGAACATGAATGGATTCGGAGAATGGTGTGATGTAATGGTTGCGTCACCACTGCCGACTGAGCTTCCCGCTGATGGAGGTGTTCGGTGATGATCACGATGTATAGATAAATGTTGATCACGAATGTCGTCGTGCAGTTTATGGGGTTGTGACAACTGTGGAGAACGTTTAGAATCGTGAAGATCTTTCATCACAGCATCAATTGTTTTGCTAACCGGCAAAGATTCAATCAATGGTGGAGTGTAATATATTTTCATGCCATGTTCTCTCTGAGCATGTTGAAGGAGGGACCATGCCGATTCATGAGTGGCTTTGCAGGATTCGCATACAAACTTCGTTGGCTCTGAAATGGAAAATATGTTCCGTTAGACATAAAAAAAAAATTAATCAAAATAGAAAAGTCATTAAGCTAGCTTCTATTCAATACGTTTTAAGGTTATACATTCCATAAATTAATTGGTTACGACAAAAGCCATATCACAGTCCAAACGAGTAAATATTAAATTCAACGCCATTTGTCTCCATTTAATTTTCAAACAGAAAAATATAAACCTATTTTGGAAATGTTAATTTTCATTATTTGTTTAACTCATTGTAAATTTATCATGTTTTTATGTCAAATGGAATTTATAGATTTAAATTAACTAACATATATCTATCTTTTCATTGTCATTGACCAAAATGTCAATTGAATATTTTACAAATGTACAAATGAGTCATACGTTTTAAATTGTGGTCCTGAAAACGATACATTGTTTATAATGACCTTACTTGCACAAGGTAGAAAGAAATTCAATATTATTTATTTGATCAGCAGACTGGGCAAACAGTAGACCAAGCTTGATATTGTGTAAAAGTTTTTGATCGATTCAGGTAGGTTTATCGCGACGCTTGGTTAATACCTTTTATGTAATAGAGCAAATTGACCAGACATTATTAAATATGCATGGGGATCTGGAGGGAAAAGTTTAATTTTTTCTACTTTAATGAATATATTCGTATTATGAATTCATCGTGCCTCAAAGTAAAATGAGTAACAATTGACTACTTTAAATAATACTCTCCCTATAAATAACAAAAATAGTGGAAACAAGTTAATGAGACAGCAAACTAAAAACACAACAAAAACTGAAAATAACTCTATCAACTTCTTAGATAAAAACTTCTCTTCAAATTTTGAAACTGTATAAAAGAGGCTAAATTTCGGTGTGTTATGACATAGTTTAAAATGGCCGTCAATAAAATCGTCACAATAATGTCTAATACACCATCCATCCACAACATTTCTAATAAACTACATTGAAAGAAAATTTTGAAGTCCTCATAAGTCCCATAGATCGGGATTATGAACGACCATTTTCAGATTTTTACATGTTCGTTGTAATCGACGGGCAAGCAGTATACAGGGAAAATATCTATTTTCTAATAGATGGTGTGATTATCATCAAACATTGGTGTGTATTTATTTTATATATACGCTTTATGCATCTCAAATAAAAACGTGTGTCAAACAACAGGAAGCGAGACATATGTACAACAGACTTCATTCAGAAAAGTGACCAAGAAGAAAGATGTTGAATTTCCCGCAGACTACCCCGCAGTCAGCTGAATCCATCCATGACCACAAACCAGACATGTCGTTTGATCTACATATAAAAACCTTTAAATGTTTGATAAGATTTTAACATATACATCATCAACACCAGTCAAATCAATATATTATACTGAAACCTTTATGTGTTAATTGCATAAAATAAGATTGGCTGCAATTATCACGTAACAGGTCCACGTATCAACACCAGTCATACGGAACATTCATTTTTCTGCATGATATATAATATTAATGGCTCCTAATGCATGTATCTTTTACTAAATCAGGACATTTTCACTGTGTTTATGGATATAACCTGAAGGGAGAAACCAAATGGAGTGGGTCTTTTATCCAAACAGATATTAATATTGGCTTTGTTGGACTGGAAAACATACTAAAAAACGAACAAAGATTTTAAGTCAAAAAGCGTCAATCTGAAGTTTACAATTGGAAAAGCTTTTGAAAATAATATTAATTGATTGTAACAAATCCAACAATGGTCGAAATTAAAAAAGAAAATATGTATGTATAATTATACGTTATCGGACAGTGAATGCCAGCTTGCTGGATTGTATTACGCCACTGACACTCAATAACAAAGCACTCAAGTCCAAGACGTCTTCAATCTCCAAACAAATACGGAACAAAAGATTGACCCTTTTCACTCTGAATGGTGACCTATTATGAAAATGGCTTTGATATCAATTGAAGAAAAAAATTTGCAAATGAATGAGTGATATAATCCAAGGGGTGACAACAGTCGTTAGGGGGTGCATAATGCCAGGAGCATGTTATTGTGTAACAAACAACGACAGCTGTCGGACACACTACATTATTAACCAGGCCTATTTTACATACTGGCAGCTGGTACTGGACAAAAAAAATAGCCATGAATATTATTAAAACCCTAATCAGAATCGTATTTCATTCTTCGTGGTGTCAAAATTATGTTTTCAATTACACAAAAGTTGTTTTCAGAGAAGTAAAGAGGTTGACTTAAATGACAAAGGAACTACACATGTATTGAAGGAAGATCCTGGGAAGATCATTTTCAGGTAGACTAATTGTGGTGACAGTAATCCGCTACACTTGGACCTAATATGGCATGACTCTGGGAAAACTATTACACAATACCCCATCACATATCTTTTCCAGAATCTATTTGGTCTCCAGCTACTATGACCCTAAATACTATTACAATTCTGGGTTTAAATTTAAAATATTGAGAACAATATTGGCCAGTTGATGATCTATGAGGTCTCAATAAAATCTACATAGATCAATAAAATGTAAATTTACTTCAATGATATATATATATATAATTGCCGGTTTTATCCAACGCAATCATAGGTTTTAACGTTGTTTTCAATTTAGACTTGTTCATATATATTTATAGAGATAGATAAATAAGTGTAAATATTGTTCCTAATATTTGTTCCCTCGAAAATCAGCAAGCAGACATAACAAGAGAAACTGGTGAAGCCTTTAGGAAAACTAGAGAGGCGCTAAGAGAAAACTGGCGAAATAAGCTATTTTTCACAAAATGTTGATTGACAAATCGCTATGTTATATAATAAGTAGTTGTTTCTATCTAATTTTTTGGAAGATATAGTAATAAGGTAAAAATAAATTCATCAAATATACCAGACTTAAATTTGAGTACGACAGACGCGCGTTTCGTCTACAAAAGACTTACCAGTGACGCTCGAATCTTATATAACAGTTAGAAAGGCCAAATAAAAAACAAAGTAGAATAGCATTGAGGACCTAAAATTCCGGAAGGTTTTGCCAAAAAAGATAAGAAAAAAAAAGACATAGAAACAAATGCAAATGCCTGGAGAAAAAGCATTTTTCTATCCTCAATATATGTTCAGTCTAGGTGGCCGAGTGGTCTAGAGCGCAGGACACAGTGCAGGCGGTGTTGTCTCGATATCCCAATAGCATGAGTTCCCGGCGAGGGAAGAACAAAAATTTGCTTCTGCAAATTTGAAGATTTAACATTGTTGTGCTGATATTTAGAGTAGTTATGTATATAAACAATAATATATATTGGAGTTCCTGAAAGTCTCCCAACTCAACACGTCATCACAATAAAAACTTTATAAAACTGTATTATGAGATATATTGTCATATAAAGATATTTATAGAGTTTGCCGGGAGAGTACGGTCACCGACCTACCTGTCTATGGCGTGATTGACCAACTTAGATAAATATATATGACCATTGGGCTGTACAAAGTTAACTTGTTAATAGATAAAAGTAATTGGAAAGTAGTATCAAAGCAAAAATAAATACAGTGTTATTTAAAATTGCTGGTGCGTTGTAATTGCTCTAACATAATATATTCAATCTATGAACATAAATGTATATTTAATATCATACAAAACGTCATTTACATTTTCCCCCTCTAACATATGCCCCTACTTTTCTGGACTTCATCCAACATACGGTCAATAACCGACACTGCCAGGTCACTCAGTTAAATGACCACGAAGATAGATAACCCATATGTTTGTTAATTGAGTCCCAGGGTAATTATGATTATTTGACTTAATCAGACGTAATGTATAAACAAGGTGATGCTTTCATAGAGGGTCCATAGGAATGATACTGCACAAGGGGAAAATATGTTCGATGTTTATGCAAGAAAAGCCAGAAATTATGACACAATTGTTATCATTTTAAACAAAACAAATTCAGAAGTGCCTGCTGCACCTTCAAAGCTTGCTTTCTATCTAATTCGAACAAACCTTATCAACACTAGGCAAGACAGATAGTAATATGAATAGGTTGCAGGGATTTCCGATGTGATAATGTGACAAAAATTAAACAAGAGATGCAGAAGAAATAATTTTAAAAACAAATCCTGTGAAATGTATACTGGATATAAAAAATATTTGGAAACCAGTAGTTATGTCATCAAAAGTTGAAAGCACAATGATCATCACATAATTTTGAATTGATTGTTACAGCATGTGCAGTAGAACATCCAATATCCTTAAAAGATGTAAAAATTAAAAGATTGTTGATGTTAAAAAATAAAAAGCAGACATGTCAATTCAACAAAATATATAACCATCTAAGTAAATGGATAAACGCAAAGAGTAACGACAGTCCCAACGATTGTCGCCGATTCATAACCGGATTGACTTGACTAACTATACTTAAGCTGTAACAACGTCCTTATTTTCTACGGTATTGAACAATGCAGTACATTGAAAGAGGCGAAAAATAATACTTCATCATTTCATAAAAATAAGAATGACCTAACTGATGGACATTTATGTCGGTTAGTCCATTTCTTTATCAGAACAATTAAATGTCAAGAAATGGGTTAAGTGGTCAACTAATCTACAGCGACACGGGTCAACATAACTTTTGTCTGGCATCTTGTTTGTTGATTTAACTTAAGCTCTGAACTCGGACAAATCAAACAGGAAGTAGCCACCTAGGCTTCGGTGTCCTGGAATGACTTGTCTCAAATGACAAGAGATGAAATGATATATGTAATAACAAATGTGAAACATAACACACTTAACTGGAATGTATCGCCTGCAAGGACAAACATTAAAGATCAAATATATTATTCATTAACCAAATGTAATTTATGACATTACAAAACTAGTTAACATTTCAATATTAGACCTTCAGACGATATGGCGATTAAAGCAAATCAAACAAGGCATGTTTATTTGTTTTTTATATTTTTTTGTTGTTGGTGTATTTCATTCCATAACCTCAAGACGTTAAG